ACCACAATGTATTGATCCAGAAGTGTTGGATAGGTAATTTCAGGAAAACACTCGAAGGTTCCATCCGTCTTCTTGAAAACCACATAATCGGAAAGCTTGTTCATCCCGTGGATATGAGAAATGTGGTTCTGTCCGTCCGAGCCCCAAAGAGAAACTGATTGGCCGAGCTTTTGGAAAGATTCGGGGAGACAGTGCAGCGTTGTGACCGCATAGTGTTTCGTCAACACAACTGCAGAGATCCAAGAATTCTGGTACTCGATGTACATGCAATACGACGCCACCTTCTCAATCAATGATTGGTTCGCGCTTCTCTTGAACATCTGAAAACTTTGAATCAAATGACTTAGAGAATATAATAATATGGAACGTAATACACAGGTTCAGTTCAATAAACATAAATTTAATTTTTTCTAACTTCTGAATTGCATTTTAATTCATTTTATTATTCTATTTTCAATCTTCGTGTGTACTTATAATTTTTAGATAATTATGGAATGGAATGGACTATATGTATATGTATATGTATATGTATATTATATTATTATATGTATTATTGTATTATATTATATGTATATTATATTATAATATATTTTTAATACTTTATTATGTTATGTATTACCATCGCAATAAATGAGCACCAGTGTATGCTTCTGGACCATCGTATTTTTGCGGCAATTCCAATTTGGATTTAAAAGAATTAGTGTACAGTCGGCGCCCGGCGACTGCTGTCCGCGGGTAGATTTACGGGGATACGTCTTTTTCTTAGTCTCGCGAGGACTAACTGATTATTTTGCATTTTATGGGTTGGTTCGATAATTTATATATCGAATGACGTTGCATATTCAAGGAAATGCCAAACTCATCAAGAAAAATTAACCATCCACGTGAAAACAGCAAAATAAGCGTTCACACGTTGCGAGACCTTTTCAAGGCGCACGCGCGTAAATCTACCCACGTACAGCAGGCGCCGGACGCCGATTATAAATCCTTTAAAAAAAAACGAGCTTAAAATGCCCATTGCTTTATAACCTCAGCCAAAATATGGCTGGTTAAGAAACGGAAATAGCTTCCTTCTTTCCATTCCAATTATCGAAAAATTATAAGTACACACGAAGATTGAAAATAGAATAAAATACTGATAAATGAATTAAAATGCAATTCAGAAGTTAGAAAAAATGAAAGAAAAAATGTGAGTCAATGGAATACAGAAAATTATATTTCCTTTTCTATTTTTAGTATATTTATTTATTTTATACATAAGAATGTCTTTACTTTCAAGAATCCAACCGCAAGTATTTTGTTTATTCATTGTTGAAGAATAAGTCAAAAGTCATTTTAATTGCGAAGCTCTTGCAGGATCTATAATATTTCCAACTTGCATACCAGCCATTGAGTAAGTTGCTCTATCAAATAAGAACATTGGAGCATTATTAGTAAATGTGACTTCATCTGTATCTGTCAATTGAGAATTGTCTAATTTAGTTAATAAGGCTCCTAAGTAGATGTAAGATTTATGTAGTAATAGATCACAAGTTTCAATGATGATATGTATTTCACCATGTTGATTAAGACATGATACAATAGAGGGAAATATACTAACAAAATTCTCTTTTTGAATTGAAGTATCCTGAATAATTGGACTATCAACAAGCAGGATTCGATCAACACTCTCTACCAATCCTGCGGAACTAGGAATCTTTGATTCTATAGAAACGGTCATTTTTATCTTGAGAAGTTCAGAATTAGCGCTTTATTTATTTAATTACAACATTTTAAGTGCTAAAATTTTCATTTGTACTCCTAATGCACCAGTTCAATTATCATAGACAATTAAATAGTCAATAAAAAGTAATAAGTTATGAAGTATATAAACCGAACATAATTGAATACTCAATTGAAGCTAAATTGTGTAAGAAATTAGTAAGGCGAGTATCAATGTATACAGATTATTCAGGATATAAGCATCTAGTAGAAAAGGAATTGAATCATCGTTCTATTATTATTGCAGAATGTAGAGAATGGATTGCAAATAAGAAATGTGAATACGGAACTCTTGTAAAAAGCAGTGGTTCCGAAGGTTTATTAGATTCTTCGAATCCTAGAACCTCTGGTTTGTGGAGTGCAAATAATAAAGTTGAGGTAGATTATTCAAATAGATTCACAAGTTTGTTCTCATCCAAAAGATATTACAAAGACAATTGTGTAATTATTGAGACTAAATTCTATTCACGCTTCAATCAAAGTAAACCATCTAATGTGTTAGATGATCTTTCAAATTGTAAATATCAGGATGATTCTTGTCAACCTGGGAAGATGAATGAAATTATGATTTGAGATGTCCATACTTCCCAGAATTGTCAATACATCTCAATTTGAAATCTGGATGGACTCATGAATAATGGGCTTTGGATCAATCGTCAAAATCAAATTGCTTTAGATCTTAAAGAATATAAAATTATCAGAGATTGTAATCTTGACCTAACAGTAAGTGAAGAAGGTTTTGCAGTCAATAAAATTTAAATATTCAAAAACTTCCCACCCCACAAGCTCCTACTACTGCTGGACTACCAAGCCTCCCAGAAATGAGTATAAAATCAGAATTCCTAGATCCGAAGGATTGATGAATCCCCAGAAGTATCAAAAAGAAAGAGACGAATATTATAAAAGACAACAAGAAATTCAAAAGCAAAAATTCAAAGAGACAATAGATAAATACGAAGCTGATCGTAAATAATTTGAGAAGAGAAGAGAAACCTTTTCCATTACCCACTTATGAAGAATACTCAAAGATTAAAACCGATTGTTTACTGCTTCCAAGTTTTGAAGACTATCTAAACTCTAAAGAAAAAGAACTCAGAGATTATTTAAAAACTAAAGAAGCTAATTTAACAAGTTATCATGAATACGTTATTAAATTTACTGAATGTACATTAGAATAATTTGAAAATAGAAAATCTCAAAGGACAACAAGGCAAGTTTACACAGATTTTCAAGTTACTGGAGAATTTCAATACTTAGAGAATAAATCTAATAATTTGCTGCGTCATACAACTGTGACGAAATAGTGGACGCAGACACCTATACACTTTTACTAGCGCTTAAACACGCATCCCTTTTCATCTCTGCGTCTCCATCTCACTAGGAGAGGGAGGCCCTGCCCCTTTCTTGAGGAGTGTGGTAGATTCTGGCTTTGCTGGCCGGTTGCCTCCGGACACCTGCCCATATATTTATCCACAATAGCTGGGCGTCGAGGTGACACTGATTAAGCGCGACGCAAGCATAATGGAAGCATTGTGGGAAATCTGTGGAACGGAAGCATAATGCTTCCATATAGGAAGCATAATGTAATTCTTAGTGGCTGTGGAAGAATTATGGGACGAATATGGATGGAATGAAAACGGGATGAATATGCTTCCGGTGTTTGCGAGCCGTGGAACAAATATGGATGGAATATGGATAAAATAATCATATGTCAATAAACATTATACAATTGGCGTCTGGACGGCAGACCAAGACAATTTCTAGAAAAATCAATACAAAAAACTTATGCTATCATATAAACAATGAAAATTTGAAAATTACATGATACACAACGGACGAAATTTAGCTTCTACCATTTAGGCGTGCCGCAGCATTGCAAAACCGTGCGCCGCTTTGCACAATGCGGCCACGCCTCACATTTTCGAAATTCGTTTTCAAAATTTTTGTCCTTTTGCTTTTTCTCAATGAATTTTCAAGATTTTTTGTGTTTTTTTTTGTCAAAAATTAAAGAATTTTTTTCAAAATTAAAGGAAAAATGTTTTTAAAAAATAAAGGAAAAATTTTCATATTTATCATCAAAATCGAAACCAAAAATAAATTGATAGCATTCGAAAATTTTAAAATCGATACGATGTTTTCAAATCGTTTCCGACACTTTTAAAATCGAATTTAAATATTTTCTCAATCGAATTGTGTTTAATTTCTCATCGAATCCGTTTTATTTTTATTTACTTTAACATATTTTTTATTATCGCTCGCTTTTTTCTTTTAATAAAACATAATGTTTTGAAATTTTTTACAGATGAAGACAAGATCGAGAGTGTTGTCAGATATAACTGAAACTGCTCTAGAAGTCAATAACAAAGAACCAGAAGTCCCTAACATGGAACCAAATTCGCTCGACACTTCAGATCCAGATAGTCCAATTTACTCGCCAACTCAGCAAAAAAATTTTTCTCCACAGTCCTCACAAACAACAAAATCAACGCCAATTCCTAAACCTTCGTACGCCCAATTTGTAAGTTGTTATCATCAAAAATTGGCCTGTTCGACTCCAGAAATGGTTTCAATTAGAAAAATATGCGCAATGAAGTCTTTATAAAGTACTTCCTAAGTTTAAAGCTTGTTGATTATTTGGTTCCAATCAGGGCTGTGCGGCAATGGAATTGCCGATTGCCGAAAATGCCGGTTTTTCAAATTGCCGAAGAAAATTTCGATCGGTAATTTGCCATTAGCCGAATCGCCGAAATTTCCGATTGCCGTACAGCCTTCGTACCAATATCATTCAGTGGCATTTATCTTTTTAAGTGGGGCTCTAGTACAGAAGTCGCCAGACGCCGACTATATAAAGATCCTATACTTTATTGCAAATATCTATATTACAGATGCTCTTATCCATGGCTTTGGGCAACAACCGACAAATGACTTCAAAGCGAATGCATTACGCATGGTTCGAGAAGTCATGGATAATCTTCTGTAAGATTTTGAACTATGACTATTAATTTATTTATTTGATTAAGCGATAGAATGCGCCAACGACTTCAAAGGAAATTTGGTGTAGCGCCGGAAGCGCTCGCGGCGCAATTAAGGAAGCTGCTTGATTCTACCAGCAACCCTCAGATGTGAGTATTCATATGTCTTTGAAATTTTAACCAAAATGCCTTTTTGCTTCAAATTTTGGAGTTGTTCTTTCTTCCGCCAATTCACTTTTTATTTTGTGCACTAAAGGGTTTCCAAAAATGCAATAAAAATAAATTATTTTTATTTTTAAGAAAATTATTGATGTAAAAAAAAACTGATTGTATTTTCTCGAAAAATTTAGTTTACGTAACAATGGTTTACAAGTTTTTCAAATTAATAGGCCCATTATAATCTACTTATTACAGCGTCCCGCTCGATGTCAGTACTGACAATGATTCGAATAGTTCGGCAGTTGCCAGTAACTAATGGTTTGATTATATCTTAATTGAAATTCATTTCATTGTTGTTTTTTTTTTATTTTAAATTAAATAAATGTGTTAATATGAAATAAATTTTGAATACAGCAATCAAATTGTTT